CACATGTGGCACAACAGACACAAAAAACCCCTCATGCATATTTTTATAAATGTTTGTAAGCAGGTGTGGTGGTACATATCTTTAACACTTGGGAGGCAGAGGCAGATAGATGGAATCTATGAGTTCAGGGCCAGCCTGGTCTATATAGTGAGACCCTGTCTCAAAAACAAACAAAAAACTCCCCACAACTCAAATTTCCCCCTTTCCTGATAGCCATTTTTGGTTTTGTCCAATATACCAAATCTATCCATACCATGTCCATTTCTACCTCATGTACCCTAACCACGTTGTCTACTCTCAAAAAACTTCCAAGAGTCTCATAAGTGACTGCCCTCTTCTAGTCTGCCTTCTAAGATCTGTTGCCTAAATAGTGCACAGTGTGATCTTCAAAACCAAAATCAGGGTATTGTCATCACTCTGCTTGAAAAATCAAGAGCTTATCACACAATTTAGAATACAACCTAAATGCCTAAGCTGCTTTACACAAGACCTATCTGGCCACAGCCTACTTCTACAGTATCTTTTCCTTTGGCTATGCTCACTTTCTAAATGGCATTCCCACTTTTTGGAATGCACTTCCAGCAGATCTTTACATAAATTGCTTTTCCTCACTATTCAAACATAGCTCAAATATCACTTCACCCAAACCATCTTGGACCAACCAATCCAGTAGTCTCGGCCTTGAAAAAGCCAGTGTCATCAACTGACAGAAGCAAACAAAAGATCCTCACAAGATCTGTCTTACTGATAAGACAATGGCAACTCACAAGTTAGGAGTTCACACAAGGTCACAATCCAAGCTAGTGACAAAGCCACTTCAAGTTCTTCAGAATGCTATGGGATAGTTCTTAAGTGGTAAGCAGTAATAGCACAATAGTAATCTAATATTCTCTTCAATCACCATAACACAACTTAAATGGGATCTGCTCTTTGGGAAACCCGCATATTTGTACTTGAGAGCCATACTAGCTGCCTTCTTAGCCTCTAGCCCGTCCCATCCACATTCCAGATCAAACTCTATGTATCCTCCAGACCAGTCAGAATGATTCTACACTTGTTATCAAAGTTCACAATGCTCTTTACAACTAGTCACTCAGTTAAACGACAAACTTCTTTCCAGTCATTCCATAAGGCAACCAATAGTCAGGCCAGACATTACTCTAAGCATTTGTGATATACATGTGAACAAGCAGAAAGAAAAATCCTAGCCGGGCAGTGGTGGCACACTCCTTTAATTCCAGCACTTGGGAGGCAGAAGCAGGCAGATTTCTGAGTTCAAGGCCAGCCTGGTCTACAGAGTGAGTTCCAGGACAGCCTGGGCTTTACAGAGAAACCCTGTCTCGCTTGAAAAACCAAAAGAAAAATCCTGGGCAGGCATGGTGATACATGGTATAAACTTTGTGCTTGGGATGCTGAAGTAGGAGAATCAAACACCAGGATGGAGCTATGCATAGTAGGCATATACCTTTAATCCCAGTTTGAGGCTAATCTGGGCTACAAATGGAGTTCCAGGACAGTCATGGATTTATAGGAAAACCCTATCTTAAAATGAAACACCACCAGAAAAAAAAAGAAAAAGAAAAAGAAAAAAGAAAAAGGAAAAAAAAAGAAAAAAAGAAAAAAAAAAAAAAGAACAGAAACACCAGCTTAGGCTCTATATGTAGACAGTCTCAAGACCAAAACAAAGAAGCTGCTCGTGGGGTATCTATATTTTTTGTTCCCACTCCTCTTTTTTCCTTCTTCTTTTGGAAAAGTAGAAGGGATGGAGGGAAGAAACAAATATAAGGTAAGTCCAAAGAATGTGACACCTGATACTAGAACTTCCCCTTTCCTTTTTGCTAGGGAGAGGTTGTTTTTTTAAACAGTTTCTCAGCAACCCTGTCTGTCCTGGAACTTCACTATATAGAGCAGGTTGGCCTCAAACTCACAGAGATCTGTAGCTTGCCTCTGCTACTTTGTGGGTTTCTTTTTCCCACTCTTCCTCACCCATCCCCATAACATATACACACTCAGTTCACCCTATCAACTAAATAGGAGAGAAAGAAGGGAGAGGGAAAAGAGATACAGAGATCTGTTCATCTAATTTCCTTCTTAGTTCTTCTTTGAGCATGACTACTAAACTCCCTTTTTAAATAACCACCAACTCTGCCTCTTGGGGGGGAGGGGCCAATAGCATTTATATACCCTCTGAAAATTTCTCAGAATTCCAAACATCACAGGATCACAGAAACTATCTGCAGCTGGCAAAACCACACTTCTGCTAGAGCATGAGGCAAATTACAGTCAGGTGCTACAGACAATCTGAAGCAACTCCATGTACCTACACCTGGGATGAAAACGAAAACATTTTTATCACTACAGAGATCCACCTACCTCTGCCTCCTGAGGGCTGAGATTAAAGCCGTATGCTGCCACCTGGCTAAATTTCTGCACATAGCCCCCTCAGCCTACCTCTATATGAGCTGAGTCCAGCTGATTTCATACCTTTGGTCAATCTTTCCCAGTATCCTTCTTCATTCATCATTTTGTAAAATCTTTTCTAATACCTACTCATTTTAAGCCAAGGCTTTTGATACTGGATAACTCTCAAGGAAAATGAGACCTTGAAGACAATACTCTCGCTTCATAGTTGTTTCATCAGCATCTAGAACAGTGCTTTATAAATGCTAGGTGGTCCTAAGTGTCTATGGACTTAATGGAGGAACAGGGTGTTTGAACATGGGTCTAGATACTTACCCTGGGGATTCATGTCGATGGAAAATGATGGAAGTAATCTAATTAGAATGCTGGGCTCTCCTGATGGCTAGCAGCTCACCTGTTTGATGATGTATGTTAGCTCCTCAATTTCTACTGCTTTATCATCAAAGAGAGACTTGCGCTTTGCCACTGCAGAGACAGATGAAACATTACAACTGGTGAGGGTAATAGCCAGGCTCAAAAAGCTAAGATAACAGTTCAGTAGTAGAGACACTTGCCTTGAAGTATAAATCCCTGGTTTAAATCCCCAGCACCATATTAAAAATAAAACAAAACCTCCATGAGCCTCACCTCCTAGTACTATGTTTTACTGTCCCACCTAGGAAAGGCCTCCCAAACACTCACAGATTGTTAGTTTCTCCAGCTTGGCAAATGTATTGCTGAGATCTTTCCCAATGCGCCTGCAAATGAGCATCAGTGACAAGGTTGTGGTAAAGGGCCGGAAATAGGCTATTACCATAAGCTCCAATACAACCTACTCCACTCAGCCAAACCATCACAGGCAGATCTACTTAAGACACTGTATCACCCCACCACAAAGCCCCTCTCAACTCACCTGGCCATGAGGGTAAATTCACTGCACTGTCGGGCAGCATACAGAGCTGGTTTACTTGTTTGGATTCCATTCTGAAAAGTAGTATCAAAAAGTTGCTACTTTAGTTCCCTTCACTATTCATGCTCAGCTTTTCACATACCCACTAAACACTCTAGAACCGTTGGCGTCAGACAATCTAAGTTTATCAGTGGTTTGTAGCTAAGAAAAAAATTAGATATAGGTTTAAATCCTGACTCATCGTTTGTGGTATTTAGGACAAGTTACTTAAAGCATTCTTAATTTTTACTGAAGACAATTCCTCCTCTCCTATTGGTAAGATTCGACTATCTAAGAGTTGTAAAGTAAGTTTAGACAACTAGCAAACAAAACCTAAGCAGTAACTAAGTGGGCTCACGCCTGCCTTTCCACTCCAGGTACTTACCTGACGGCTCTGCAGCGACTTGCAGGCAGACAGGAACTCCTGGGTCCGATCCCGGCAGGACATGGTGTCGGGAGGGGAGGGGACCAGGACCACCGGGGTGGGCAAAGGAGCGATGTCACTGCTGCTACTGATAGCAGTTGCAGGGGACAGAACCTGTGTCTTTGAGAGACCCAGGTAGACACCCTGATCCGTGTTCTTAGATCCGTAGCGTTTCCGCGGGATCATCGAGTCGCATAACCTCGGACTGTTGTGGAGAGGAGAATGTCATTCTCCAGACAGCCTCGTTCCCCAAACTCTTCCCTCAACTAGCAAATCCTCAGGCCCTTTCCCGTATTTGACAGATTTTCGAGCCCAAGGCCACCCGCAGATCCTGCACCCTGGACACGGCGAGAACGGTCAGCCAGCTTCCTCCAGGCCCAAGGCGAAGCCTCCTCAGATTCTCCTTCCAACTTGGCTCAGACTGCCAGAGCACCGGCCGGGGCCCCTAAAGTCGAGAAAACAGCCACAGCCTGGTCCTGCGGCCCCGAACTTCCAGCCAGACCTTTGCAGTTGGCCCAAGTCTTAATCCTGCCCTCTGGTATACGTGATTTCCTTCACCCTCTCATAGAAAACGGCAACCGACCTCCAGAAGTGGGAACACTTCGGATGGCGGAGGGGGGAGGGGGATATCTAAGTGTTTATTTGAAACAGGAAGTCCCACCTCCGCCAAAGTTCCGCCTGATGGAAGACCGCAGCCATTGATTGGACAGGGCTAAAGTTTTTCCTCAACAAGACCTTTCCTGATTGGACAGCGAGGTATTCGCTTACGCGGATCCGCCAGCAGGACTTGCCCCTGGCTCCCTTCCCCCCCAAACCCCCGTCAAGCTGCTGCCCCCGAGCTGAGCCGACCGACAGAGGCTGGACTCCTACTGGAGCGAAACCCTACCTCTTCTGTTGCCTACCACCACCGCCACTGCCACTCTCCTCAGGTCGTTGCTGCCTCCTCGCTGGACTTGTAAGCCGTGGAAGCCGGACCAAAGAACCGGAGCCGCCACGTCACCTACCCGTACCCCTATCCCCGTGACGTGGCCTCTGCGCCACGCCTTTTTTTTAGCCCAGAGACTGGAGGGACACACCCCTCCTCATGCAAACTCGACTCCGCTCTCCTATTGGTTAGACTGCCGCCGCGGCCCCGCCCCTAAAGAACTAGAACAAATCTGGAGGGTCTGGGTTAGAGGAGCCTTAAAGAGCCTAAGGCCGCTGGGCCTACAAATCTGGAAGGCTATGTTTTCAGCAGATTCGCAATATTAACTTTATTCTCTGGATGTTGGGGAGGACTGAGACCAGGGTTGTAGTCAGCCCTTTTCTGGTTCCTTGTGGCTTCCCTCACGTTTGTGATCCTGAATCTGATTGTCCTTGCCTGACCGTGAGGACCCCCGACGGCTGAACATGGATAGTCTGCGCCACAGCACGGTGATCAGAAGACTTTCGTTAGATCTTTGTTTACGGCGGCCTGGGTTGTCCGCTTCGTTGCCTACAAGGACCACAGGATCCACTTAATTCAGTTCTGCTCTCTCCAGGCCCACCTGTGTCCCTTCGGGGCACCTCCCACTCCCATTCCTGGTCCTGAGACCCTTTTTTGTGTCTAGTCCTACCTTCCCTGCCTTCCTCTGTTACTTCCTCTCTTCCTTGCTCATCCGAGGTCCGATGGTCCTTGTCCTGACAGCAGCCCATGGCCCCGAAAGGCACAGGACTCTGCCACCCTCCCCAGCCAGCTTAGCTCTGGGCCTAGCTTTTGTGACGTCAGGTCTCCCACGCCAGGTGAGGGGACCCCTCCCACCTACAAGCTCGCCTTTCTCTCATCACAAAAGGTCCAGGATCTCAGTTTGCTGGGCTGTTTATTAATAAAGTGAGCAAGGGGCTTTAAGGACTGGTGGATCCAGGACGCTTCTTCTTCTTCCTTCTTTGGAGAGCACCTTGTGTCTGATCCAAATTAGGAAGCTTCCGCTTGGCAGCTGCCTCCAAAGACGCCCAAAGTTCATCTGTCTCTGTGTCTTCTCGGGGCACCAGGTTGGGCTCTTGAGGTTCTTGGGGCTCATCCTGATGATCAAGGACATTCAGGAGTCAGGGACAGGGAAAGACTGGCTGAAAAATAATCCCTCTGAGCACCACCACTTTGATCTAGAAACCAATGCCTTTGTATTCTGGAGGACCTCACCCTTGGCAATAGCCGGCTTGCGGACTCCTCAAGGAAATTAAGTTTCAGTAAAGAGAAAGCCCTGGTCTGTGTCCTAGCTGCCTCCTTTTCTCCCCACAGAGAATCCCTTGCCATCATGCCTTTGGCTCCCAAATTCTCACACCTAACTAGCTGCTCACCTCCCAGTTATCCCGGCCTGACAGGAGAAGGCAGTTCAGTTGAGACTTGAGATAAACCTGTAAAATAAAAGGGGTTTTTGAGCCCAGACAAGCTGAGACAGAAACTTTTTTATGTGGGGCACAGGAAAGGGGAGAGACTCCAGAAGAGAGCAGTCAGAGTGGAGAATGCCAGAGGTTTAGGCTCTCTCTCTCACCTTATGCTCCAGCCCACGTGGATTACGGATCCTGTGTATCCTCAAGACTCTGTCCAAGCCACAAGAGGCTAGTAGGGGTTTTGAAGGATGACACTGCAGCCCACGTACACTGCCTGCAAGTCCCTTCAGACAGCCCAGTAGACGCCCTGGAGAAGGGTGTAGGGCATCAGTGTTAGCTAACCAGCCAATGAATATTTAGTTACTAATCAAATCACTTATATTTCAGTACTTAATTCTCAGAATAACCTAGAAACAGGAGTTACCAATGATATTTCAATTCTACAGGCAAAGAAACAAAGACACAGGACTCCAATAAGCAGTCCAAGTTTAGAGGTTTTTGGTGAAATCAGAACTCAAACCCAAAGAGTGACTGTGACACTAACAGGGCTCAATGAGTCTCTTAGTAGTGCCCGTTCCCCTTCTCAAGCAACCCACGGTCCACTCACCTTGCCGAAAATCAATTTCTGCCAGCTGCCCACGAGTGTTCCCTACGATGACGGAACTAAGGAGGATACCAAAGAGGGGGCTCAGTATGACTTCTAGAGCTATTCCAGAGTGCTTTCCCTTTCCCTCAACACTCACTTGCCCTCAGAAGTAAGGGTCATGGCTGTCAGTGGGTACTCTCCATAGGTGGCCTCTAGGACTGGCCGGCGCTGGGGGGAAACTGGATCATAAACACGGATCTAGAAGAAGACTGAAGTATCACAAGAGTATCCTTACCCACACTGACCCCCAATATCTTATTTATTATTATCCTTATGAAGACTATTACTTTGTTGTTGTTGTTTTGAGACAGGGTCTCTCTACATAGTCCTGCTTGCCCTGGAACTTGTTCTGTAGACCAGATTAGCCTCAAACTCAAGAGATCCACCTGCTTCCCAAGTGCTGGGATTAAAGAGGGTGCATTACCATTCTTGGCAAGACTGCTTTCTCATTTGAAGTATGTACTTAATCTCATCTCAGAATATTGGGGGAAGGGCTCAGGAGCCCTCATGAGCATAGTCTAAGGACAGTGGAGGGACAGAAAAGCTAGAGAGTGGTGAATTTCAAACAGAAAAGCTTACTCTTCCTAAGGGAGCAGTGGGAAGTTCTTCATATGTTGTGAGCAAAGGCCTAGTACCTATATCAGACTTTAATGTCCAGGACTATCCCAATAATAGTAGTGACCCAATCCTGCCCGAGTCTCAAAACTTCAAATGAAATAAGCCACAAAGATCCCTAGCCAGGCCCTCACACAAGACTGGTAGAGCTGAGACATAAGAGAGGTTCCCAAAGCAAATCAGACTATATGAGGATTACACAGTTCTCTCAATGACCATACTAGCTAGAATATGCCTAGTAGTGTCAGATCTCATGAGCCTGGTTAGTACTACATGGAAGGACTATATAATTGTTTTGCAGCCAACCTGATGTTCCTTGTAGAACTTACTGTAAAAGGAATACTCCCTTTGCTTTCCCTTCTAGGCAGGAGAAATAGAAAGCCAGAGTTGAAGAATTCCACCCTAGAATTCGGTAAGGAGAAAGTAGTGGGCTCAGCCATGGAGTTTGTCAACTGAGGAAGTCTGAGCTCCTTTGAGAATCCGGACAGAGATGCACCATGGGAGACTGCTGTTGGGAGACACTTTGCTGTTGTTCTTCTTCAATCTGGGAGCAAGCAAAAGAGCCTCACCTGGTGGTACCCTGTGCACGTGACAAGTTTCTGTGACCCAGGGAGGAACTGTACGTCTTGGTCCCAAATTGGAACCCGTAGATCAAGCCAATCATTCCGCACCTGGTGTGGAGGTAAATATGGGACACAAGGTGTTGGTAAGCCTGACCTGTTCCCTCCAGTCCTCCACACACAACCCCCCCTCCAAAGCCCATCTAGGTTATGATCACTGTCAGTGGCTTTCACTTCCCCCAACCTCAGACAAAGCATCTCTCCACCCCTCATAACTCACATTTTTGGCCCTGAACACAGGCTCCTCAGACCCTTGTAGGTCCCATACTTTCAAAGCATTCTCTTTCCCACATGTGGCAACCACATGTGTGCATGTGGGATCTTGGCGCATCCTACACACCCCAGGACCCACCTTCAATTCCAGGAGCTGAAAAGAACCAGAGATGAGTCAGTCTCAAAGCCCTTAATCTTTCCTTTACCAAATTCCCCATCAGACCTCTACCCTAGCTCCCATCCTCTTCAACCACCAGGACAGGTGAACCTTACTGGGTCAGAGGACACCTCCTTGTCATTTTCACACCAGACTCTGAGGATCCCAGAATCCACACATGTGATAAGGGTGCTGCAAGCAAGTAAGAGAATATTGGGATTTTAAAAAGTGTAAGCCAGCTGGGCAGTGGTGGCGCACGCCTTTAATCCCAGCACTTGGGAGGCAGAGGCAGGTGGATTGCTGAGTTCGAGGCCAGCCTGGTCTACAGAGTGAGTTCCAGGACAGCCAGGGCTATACAGAGAACCTTGTCTCGAAAAACAAAACAAAAGTATAAGCCAGGTTTTGTGGTGCATACCTATCTGTAACAGTATGGGAAGTAAAGAGGAAACTAGGAATTCAAAGTCAGTCTGAGCTATAACGTGAGTTCAAGGCCATCCTGGCTACATGAGATACCAAACAACAACAAAACATACCCCCCCCAACACACACAAATATGAGCAACCCAACCCAAACAACGATAAGAGATAAGATAAACCTCTTCTTCCCTAAAAGCCCAAGCCTTTCTTTTCCCAGGCTCTGGACAACCTGTGCTTATGTTCTTCCTCATATCTGCTTACCTAGGCTCAAGCTCTAGACTGCTTGCCTAGATTGTGGCAAACAGCATGTGTGATACTCCTTACTCCTACAGGCCCAGAGCTCTGTCCATGGCACTCCCCATTCAAACCCAGTATACTCCCTATTAGCTATGAAATAAAATCTTAACTTAGTACACAAGCCCTTTCCATTTAATCTCAACCAAATACAATGCCAAGCTTAGATGCATGATGATGCTTCCTTGACTTCAGCCTCCAAGTGGTATTTGTCCTATGTATATAGCGGTTTAACTCCTCCTTAGTCTCTGCTCAGTTAGTATCTATTTTTTAGAATGTCTTTCTCTTCTGCCAAGATTATACATGTACTTCAAGACCCAGTGCAAAACTCCATCCTCTGCATATCTTGTCTGGAGCTCACCTGTTGAATTACCAAAGCAGCCTTCTTTCTTCATCGATCTAGAAAAGCTTCTCCCAGGTTATTACCCTTGGTGACCCTTCCCAGCCATCACTTTGAAAGCTCCATTATCTTATATTTTTGTCAATCACTACTTAAACAAATGTTCAAAAGCATTAAATTATGTGCACAGAACGTTATAAAGGAGCCAGAATAAAAATCCTATCTAGGGCTCGTGCAGTGGTGGCACACGCCTTTAATCCCAGCACTTGGGAGGCAGAGGCAGTTGGATTTCTGAGTTCGAGGCCCGCCTCGTCTACAGAGTGAGTTCCAGGACAGCCAGGGCTACACAGAGAAACCCTGTCTCAAAAAACAAACAAACAAAAAATCCTATCTAGGATGCAAACTTTATAAAGGAGCATGTTTTACCTAAAATCCTTACACTTTTCCTTCATGTTCAGTAGCTGTTCGATAAACGCATGTTATAGGGATGAATGAAGACAAGAACTTTGTTTGCAATCACCTATCCCAGGGGCTGTATCATCTAAGGGTATAGCTTAAGTATTCCATTCAATCCATGAGATCCCCAAACGCTCTGTGACCTGGGCTAGAATGTGGTCCTTACCCATCGGCCTGGGCGAGACCTCGGAACGTGCCTTCCCCGCCTGGGCAGTATCTCTGGCTCTGGAATGTACCCTCCTCGGCATTAAAGTGTCTCACAGTCCTGTCCGCACAGCCCACCAAGATCTGCCAGAAGAGAAGAGAATGGTGGAAAAGGAGCAAAGCTGTCCGGCATCCCTTAGCTCCGGCCTGGACAGTGGCTACTCACCTGGGTCTCGCTGCCGGTGCCCCAGCACAGAGCATTCACTGCCTCCTCCCGCCGCGGCTGTCCGGACGGGGTGAAATTTGCCGCATGTCTCCGCTGAAGGTTCACCCCTGAGGGACGAGGTCGTCAGTCACGCTGGGGTGACAAACAAGCTATCCCTGCACTTTCCCAGAAACAACTCACCTTTCAGGATTCCAGTCTCAGTGCCGACCCACACATGGTTCCAGCGAGCCGAGGCAGCCGCCATCGCAGGCCAGCCTGTGGCTTGCACTTCCGGCGCGCCACCACGGCGTCATTAGCGGGCGCCGGATTCAGTCTCATGACCCGGGTCGCTCCCTTCTGTGCCCGCCTCAACCTGTCGTTTCCTCCCACCCTCTTTCCCTCCCCTCTTACCCCCATCCCTCAAACTGGCACACAGTTTAAATCTCAACACTCTGGAGACAGAGGAAAGAGGATTTCTGTGGGCTCCAGGACAGCCAGGGCTTCACAGAGAAACCCTGTCTTGAAAATACAAACAAGGGCCGGGCGGTGGTGGCGCACGCCTTTAATCCCAGCACTTGGGAGGCAGAGGCAGGCGGATTTCTGAGTTCGAGAGTTCGAGGCTAGCCTGGTCTACAGAGTGAGTTCCAGGACAGCCAGGACTACACAGAGAAACCCTGTCTCGAAAAACCAAACCAAACCAATAAAAAAAAAAAAAAAAAAGAAAGTACAAACAAGGGAGGGGGGATTGGAGGGAGGGATAAAATCTGGAGTGTAAATAAATAAGAAAAAATAAGAACATTGGGGAGATTGGGGGCCTGCGATCAGGATGTAAAGTGAATATAAATAAATTAATGAAAAAGAAAATACAAACAAGGGCTGGAGAGATGGTTCAGTGGTTAAGAGCACTGTCTGCTCTTCCATAGGTCCTGAATTCAATTCCCAGCAACCATATGATGGTTCACAACCATCTGTAATGGGATCCGATGCCCTCTTCTGGTGTGTCTGAAGACAGCGACAGTGTACAGTACTGAAGACAGTACAGTATAGTATACTCAGACATAAGACAAATATTTATTTAGAAAAAAGGGAAATACAAACAACACACACCCCTCAAACAGGAACACTTCTTGTTTATGGAGAACTGAAAAGTAAGGATCATCTTTGCACTGTCTGTGAAAAGCATCATTTCTGTACTGTAATGATGGCAGGTGTCCTCCATCTCCCTGACCATCTTGTGTTAACCATATCCCACACTATTAAAAGAATTTTAGAAGTTATTCTCTATTTTCTAAATCATCAGTAGGTGTGTCTACATATGGCTGCACATGGGTACAGAGGCCTAAGGAAGATTCCTGGATGGAGCCAGGGATACAGATGATTATGAATCATCTTGTGGATTCTAGGAATGGAACCAAGGTCCTGTGGAGGAGCAGTAAGTGCTTTTCTTCTTGAAAAGTAGAGACCTGGTTAAACTTTTTATTTGCTCAAAACTGAGTCTACAGTCAGAATTTTGGTTTTTTTTTTTTTTTTAAAAAAACCCAGTCATGTGAATATGTTGGTTTATTTTTTTTAAATCCCAGGTGTAGAATGAGAGGATGCTTCAGTTTGTCCATAGCTGTTATCTATGATTGTCTCATGATCTAGGAGGGGTATGAGTTTTTGCCAGCTATAGACAGTTTACGTTTGGAATTATGAGAACTCTGGCGAGAGATAAATGCCAGAGGCCCTGGAGAGGTGGGAGGGAGGTCCTCTGAAGAAGGCAAAGAAGGCTGCTGCTCCCCCTGCTGCTCCCACTGCTGCTCCCACTGCTGCTCCCACTGCTGCTCCTGGTTCCTGTTGTTGAAGTTGAATGAGAAGTTGGAGCTATCCTGACTACAAAGATAGGACTGACCCCAAGAAACATGATGTCCCTAATCAGCAGGAAGTAGCCTATAGAGGTCTACTTCTCCTTCTCCCTTTCCCTCAACCTTTTTCTCTCTACCTAGTGTTGGGGATTGGAAGGGGTTAGGGTGGAATAAGGTTGGAAAGGGAGATAGAAGTATAAGAACCCAATAAAATAGTAAAAAAAAAAAAAGTGTCAACAACATTCTAGCTTGGAAAATACAAATTTGCAAAATTAATTTTTAAAAACCATGTATCTATGTCAAGTGTGGTGGCACACACCTGTAATTCTAACACTCAGAAGGTTGAGGCAGTCTAGACTACATATGACTACAACTAAGAGACACCCTCTCAAAAAGTGTGTATGTCAGACATTCTCCCAAATACATGGCACAAAGCTTTAAAAAGGAAGGAGGGGAGGAAGGGAGGGAAGGAGGGAGGGAGGGAGGGAGGGAAGAAGGAAGGAAGGAAGGAAGGAAGGAAGGAAGGAAGGAAGGAAGGAAGGCAGGCGTTCTGAGAAGCCGTCCAAACATGAAACTTGTTCTGGGGATCACAGACCTTCAAACATTTGGTCTGAGATTGTACCAGTAGGAGTGAAACACTGTGTTCTTGCCTTCTGACAAACCCCCTACATCTGAACACTCAGGTTTTCCGAGCTTAGGGCTCCACAATAACAGCAATTAAGAAAACAGCATTCTGATTCCTGGGATAAAACTGAACTTGTCAAGTTTTGCATCCCCACAGTCCAGGCTTGAAGGCCAGCTCTACACACAAAACTGTGTTAACCTCTACTGTACAAAGAACCACTGTAAATTAGAGGAACTTCTCAAGTTCTCAAAGAACTCATGAAGATTTCAACTTCTTCTTTTTTTTTTAAACAAAGCATTTGAACTGTTTGACGTGAATTTCAGGCTGGGAAGATGCTTCAGTGGTTAAGAGCAGAGCCCTGGCTGCCCTTACAGAAGCACCTCGTGGAGAACTACAATTGTCTGCCATGGGACCAGAACTTTTTTTGGTCTCCAAGTATACAAATGGTGCCCAGGCATCCAACACACCCATACACATAAAAGAGACCACTATAAAGAGCAAGTTTCACTACTTGAGAACTCTGAAATAAAATATAAGCTCTGGAAAACCTAAACCTGAGAGATAATGACAGAGTTTGTAGCTTCCCTGTTTTGCCTATGTGTATTAGAATGTACCTCCAAATTGTGTGTATGCGCAGAGAGATAGAAACCATTGAAACAAAAAAGTCGAGAGAGGTCTGAAAATACAAGTATACTTTAAACAACCATCTACATAAGGTTAAAAATTAGACATACTAAGAAGGCATAGCAATTTAGTGCTGGGCAGTGGTAGCAAACAGTCTTTAATCCCGGCAGAGGAAAGGAAACCTCAGAAGTCAGAGAAAGTTCCAGGACAGCCAGGAATACAAAAAGAAGCCCTGTCTCAAAAAAAAAAAAAAAAAAAAAAACAACAAAAAAAAGAGCGATAAAAGTGTCACAACCAAGACCAAACCTCAACAAGAGGGAGACAGAAACAGTCAATCATCTCTACAAAATGATAAAAAGTAAGACAAGCTGCATCTAGAACCGTTCTTTAAAGGTTTTATATTCCTTGAAAGGTACACTGTTCCTAGAAGTACTGCAATACCAGGTCAATGCATAGAGTGGGCAGAGCAAGCTCCCATTCCATCTTCTAACTCCAAATGCTAATTTACTATATTGTCCTCTGATTAGGGACATATAAGATACTAAGCTTATAAGAACAGAGACTACACTTGATTTTAGCCAAAAGGCTGAGAAACATTTTTCCCCCTTCTAATTGCTAACAGCTTGTTTCTCTGATGTTTCTCTTTTGTTTCAATGTAGGCCCACTGTTTTAATTATTCTTTTTTTTTTTTGTTTGTTTGTTTGGTTTTTTTTTGTTTTTCGAGACAGGGTTTCTCTGTATAGTCCTGGCTGTCCTGGAACTGACTCTGTAGACCAGGCTGGCCTCGAACTCAGAAATCTGCCTGCCTCTGCCTCCCAAGTGCTGGGATTAAAGGCATGTGCCACCACTGCCCGGCTGTTTTAATTATTCTATTGTGGCTCTTTACCAAGTGTCATCTTCCCAGGCTCTGTTCTGGTTTTTTATTTACTTTTTAAACAGTCTTGCCATGTAGCTCTGGATGACTGGGAACTTGCCTGTCTCAGCCTCCAAAGTGCTGAAATTAGGGTGGCCCACTGGGATGCTAGGTTGAAATGTTTTATCCTTTTTTATGTGAATGAGTGTGATCACATGCGTTTCTGGGGAATTGTTTTCCTTGGTGCCTTTGGAGGCCAAAAGAGGGTATCAGATCCTCTGGACATAGAGCTGTGGGAAGTTATGAACCACCTGAAGTGCTAGGAACTGGCACTTTTTGCCTGCCAGACACTGATAGTATCTTTACTGGGAATTTCTTCTCATGATGGACTAGAAAAGTACACAAAATAGGAATGTGTCAGAAACACAAAGTGAATTATAGTGAAGCTAGGGTGTTTTTGGAGAGTACAGACTGTTCTGAGTATTCATGTGGGGATGTGCCCTGGCACTTTGGTGAGAGCCACCTATTGAACTGACAACCAGATGTCTGCACATTGTCATTCTCCTGTGCTTTGAACTTTCTATGTTGCCAAAATGACCTTGACTGGGATCACAGGTGGGACACTAGACCTCCCCAGTAGCCTCACAGCCAACTCATTGCCTACTAGAAATCAAGCATTCTTGCCCTATCCCCAACTACTGTGTTGTTTCCGTTTTCAGAGGGTTTCTTTTTTTATTTTTGGAGACAGGGTTTCTCTGTATAGCCCTGGCTGTCCTTGAACTCAGAAATTCACAGCCTCTGCCTCCCAGGTGCTGGAATTAAAGACATGAATCACCACTGCCTGGCTTTCAGATAGTTTCTGTGTAGCTCTGGCTGTCCTGTTACTCTGTAGACTAGGCTACCCTGGAACCTCCCAAGTGCTGAAATTAAAGGTATGAGCCATCACTGAGCAGTATACTCTTACTGTAGAGTAACACTGGCTCCCATACTAGTCTTGCCTGTTAAGTAATTTTTTGCACGTCTGTTCTCTTTCATGGTATAAGGGCAATTTTTCTCTCCTTTTGCCTCATTGTGACAGGTACCTGAAAAGATTAATGAGACAGCAAGACAGGCTGATCTGAAACAAATTTTCAGTTCTTAGTACAGTTCTCAGCCTTGGCCATTTGATTTTTTTTAGCCTTAGCACAGGACTTAAATGTGATCTTTGCTAGTGCACTTTAATCCCTTCTCAGGATTCTGCAATTCCTCTATAGTACATATGAGCAGAAAAGTGGTCTTGGTCAAATTATTACCATTGTCTTAAAACTTACATGAACTAGAAGAGCATCTTTATTCATTTGGCAGCCAAACCACTCCATCTAAGGACATAATTCATGAAGCCCTGGGCTTAACAACACCCTCACCCCCTAGAATAAAGCAAATGGCGTTGAAAGATAAGCTCCTTAGGCTAGAGAGGCCATACTACAGGATTACAAACCACACACAGAAACTTAGGATAAGCATGGTACCAAGTCACAATTCCTTCCACCGACAATCCTCAAGTTTTAATCCCTTCTGTGTGATCCTCAGAAACCACGTTTATAAGACCATCTGAATGAAACCTTGGTAGGATTAGTTTTTTTGCAAAGCCTGGGTTTGACTTCCCAGCACTCATGAATCAGCCATACAACTTCACTCTGAGGGGATCCAGCACTCAGGGTAGTATAGTACCACAGCCATGAGGCAGATATAAGTAACAAACCCACATGAAAACCTGCTGTACAGCTGGGCAGTGGTGGCACACGCCTTTAATCCCAGCACTTGAGAGGCCATTGTGGTCTACAGAATAACCCTGTCTCAAAAAAACCCCCTCAGCATACCTAAGTACCAAATGCTTTGGAAACCAATATGCAAAAATTATCCTCAAAGCCTTCAATCTCTATGGCACACCCTGAAATAATTTGGGACTCATTTCTATCCATGCCTTTCCTAGCCAAAAAGACAGTAGGTGGTCAGCAGTAATGCCCACAAAGGCATTGTATGTAGTGTCCGTGTACATACATACACAAATATAAAAGGCCATTGTCAGCTTCAAGTTTACTCCTAGCAAAAAATGTTCTTGGCTACTGCAAGATGAATTTAGGTTTTTATATAAAGGGCAGCTGTAGCAAGTCAGTGTCTGCATACCAGTGTATTTGGCCTAGGGAATTCTAAGCCATAGGAGGCTCCCTGCCTTGCTGATAAAAAGCTTAGGTGCCATTACTCCAGATTCAAATGCCAGGTAGAGGGTTCTTTTAGTGATACCAAGCTATTAGACCCAGGCCCTCAGGACCCACCCAAATCAAATAAATGACTTACACTATAGCATAGAGCATTTATTGCAAGGAACCAAAAGAACACAGCTACAGTTAAAGGGTCAGCAATGAAGGTCAATCTGGAATTGCAAAGAATTTTTATCTTAAAAGTGACCTATTATGGTGAAGCGAAGCATATTAGTCTGCTTCAGCAATAATGCTTGAAAAGATTAACCATCCTGGGCTGGAGATGGCTCAGTGGTGGGGAGCGCTGACTGCTCCTCCCATCAGATTTGATGTTCAGCTCCTGTAAGGTAAAAATTCGTAATTCAAAATCATGCTACATTTAATACTGGAAGAGTCAGTAAGTACTAAATTATAGTTACCAGTTTTCCACCCTGCCCCTCCCACCTAATTCTAAAGACTACCCACCTTTCATGTACAGCTCATTCTTTTCTCCATACCTGAAAACAGACAGACCAACTTATGTTTCTTTTTAATCAAATGAGAATTCTTCCCTTTTTGTTCACAAAAAAATCCCTCAGACAGTTCCTTCTGGAACAAGGCTTCCTCTTTTCCCCCAGCCAGCCCCAGTGGGTTCACCTTTTCAGGCTCTGGAGCTAGGACAGGAAGTAGGACGCTTGAATATTTCTTCATGGGGAAATAATAGTTCACCACACTTCATATCTAAGTTTCCTTACCTCACTTTAGTGTGGACTTGAATTAAAAAATGCTTTTAACATTCCTGCAAGATAGCAAACAAATTTGGACCATTAATGCTTAAACTTACTTTACAGGAATCATACTAGCATAAAAATTTTCCTATTTGATCCAAGATGCGCTCACAACTCAGAAAATACCTTTCTTCACAGCTATCAGACTGGGGCGGTATTCAATTCATCAGGGTGAGCAGGAATTCATGGATCAAAGCATTAGATATTTTACCTAATAAACTACAAATAGCACTACTAAAACATTTACCTGGCATGTCTCCTTTGCTCTTAGCCAGTGTCACCTGAAACACAAGACAGTCAACAGCAATATATATATTAAAAATCCTGCAATAGATTGTTCCCACCTATCCCACCAATCTGAGAAATATCAGATTTCCAAGTCTCAACAGCAGTCATCAGCCGAACGAGATTCTATGAAAGTCATCATATACACAGTACCTTCTCAGGACCCCAATTGTACACCACCACACACTGAAATTTCGTACCTCTGAATCAGTAAGTTTGACACTGCTAACAGAACCTGGGGAAAAAATAAAACTATTTATTGATAAGACTGGCTTGTGCCCTTGACCCAGTCTCCACCCTTCAGTTTCTCAGGTGTTCCTGTGTTTTCATTAGCAGTCATAGTGAGCTAGTTAGATTCATCATAGAAACAGCCAACCTAGTGAACAATCTCCATCCAGAGTAATTTAACTAACCTTTTGATGCTGGAGATTCGTGGTATACAGGAACTCCTCCTAAATTAGCAGAATTAATTAGTCAAATATCCAGAGTAGTTAAAACCTATCTTAGCATCTTGTTCTTTTGGTTTTTCAAACCACAAACTACCAGTTATAAGGTGTTTGCCTTTTAGCGAAACACTCAGTTTGATCTGGACTGTCAGTACTTGAAATATCCAGGAGAAATAAGGCAATGCAAGTTTGCTAAGGGGGCTTCAGTGACAAAGCCTACTCGATATCAACAGATCCAATCTTCATTAGATCAGAAAAAAAACATCACTTACCTCTAAAGAAATCACCTCAGGAAAACCTGTGAGAGAGTAAAGAGTAGTCACTTCCAATCATCAGGACAGAACAAAATCTCTTCCTCACCATGAACTGCCATCAGAACTCTAACATGCTATAAATTCACACCTTCATGGAGTATCAGTGTGTCGATTCAAATCATCTGACAGTGAGTGAGTTTTTAAGAGAACAAGGCCTTAATATAAGGTGTTCTCTAGAAATATGCAGAGCCCATAAGCAGCAAAATAAAAAAAAGATAACATGCTGCTTGATAGTTCTCTTTTCCTATTTCCCCTAGAGAAAGTCCAAGCCCTATTTGGACAATTACCTGCAATCACGTTCGGAGGCAGCGTGAAAACTCATGTTGTCACAGTACCCTTGACATAGAAAAACACTGTCATTTTTAAATGTAATCACAGCCACCTCACCTCCTTCTCTGCACCCCACTTTCAGTAGTAAGATGACATCACCATCGTTCAGACATATGCTTGTCATTTACACTACATTCATCATCAAGGTCACGTAAATATGCTCCATCCTAAGACACCATAAGCCATTAATACCCACCTGACTAGAAGCAAAGCGTGCTATCTGTAAAAGTGAACAGGCCTGGTTCCAATGTGCAAACCCCTTCGAGGTTAACCGTATCTGGAACAGAAATAAAAAGACCCCAAACCTCAGTAACACACTTTACTCCAAACAACCCAAATACCTGCCAGATTGTGCTACTCAGAGAATTTTTCCTTCTCCACTAAACCATCAGAAAGAGAGAGTTCAGGTTTTATATCATCCCCGTAGCACTTTCACAACTTAATAACCAAAAGACCCTAGTAAAGCCATTAACACTTACTCTGTAAAGAGAGCATACTCCCATTCTTTCGTACGTAAACAAGCACGTCAAACCTGCAGGAAAAACTTGGGTTATTTCTACATCAAGAAATCTCTCTGCAGGATCAGAAAACTGTAGGCCCAGCGCCAGCCTTCTCAGAGTTACTTATCCTCACAGAAATCAGTACAGGTCTGTGATAAGGTCCTCATCACTGGGGATGGCCTTGCGCTGCCGCCACCATTTTGTCCTTCACAAAATCCTGCCATCTCTAGGTCTTGAACGCCCTAACATGGTCTCCCCGCTAAGACTACAGAACAGATTATAAGAGTCCACATCTACGATGGCTATATCCACGGGGGTCTTTTAAACCACTAGAGACAGACATTTCATAAGACAGTGCAGGGAGTAGTTCACAACAGAGGCAGGCAGATTTTTATGATAGAAGCCAGCCGCGGTTATAGGCAGGCTGCTTAAGAGGAAACCCCCTTAAAAAAAAAAAAAAAGTTAAAAACCACGGCACACAAAGACCTCCACCACTTACCCAGGGAAGGGAAAAATGAGACCGACTAGAACGGCGTGTGGCCTATAAATAGCGTCTCGCAGAGGCCCACGGGATTTGGAGGAGGGACTAGGAGGGACGCACGCGCTAAGGTTAGCGTTGTGCGAGCCGGAGGAATTGTGGGTAAAGGGTTTCGCCCAAAGGCGCGTGGGGAGCGCTCCGCCTCTGAATTTGCAGCGCGAAAAAGAGGCGCAGGCGCTTTAGGGGAGTGCGGCGGTACGCCTTTGGCGCTGCTGCTAGGCGGTTCCTACTCACCGTGGGTGAAACGTCATCGCTGGAGGTTTGGCTTCGCGACCCTTACTGCTCGACTGTCTGGGTCACAACCACCAATATCCATACGTTGAGGTTATTTCTTGACCTCCCTCACGCTAAGCCTGCTTGTCGATCCATCTCTATGGATCCCGAACCTACTGAACACTCCACCGGCGGCGTCTCAGTTCCCCGCCAGCCGCCCAGCGCGCAGACGGGGCTTGATGTCCAGGTTGTCAGCGCAGCGGGCGACTCAGGTACTGGGCCCTGGGCTGAGCTCGGTTAGATTTTCGCTTCCTTGCATGAAGCCTTTTAGGGAAACACAGTCAGGACTAGATGTCCTGCGTCATTCTGGAGACCGATTTTTGTGTTTTGTTTCCTGGTCTATTTTCGCCATGATCTTGGCCCGGATTGAATGAAGTAGGGCCAGCGTTAGATGTCATTTATGGAGCATGTTGCACGTTTTTGTTTTTAGCAGTGCTGTAGATTAAACCTACTGCTATGTACATGTGTAGACAAGTGCTATACTACTGAGTCTGACACCTCTCCACACAATTGGGCTTACCGTTTAAAGCAACCAATATGAGTTAATATTCCACACTAAGAGTTAGAGATAACCCTCATTTTATACATGGGTGGTCTTAGATATAAAGAGCTCTGCGGGGAGCAATTTTTAGAATTTACCAGTTGTTTAGGTCGGAGCTAAAGACTGGTTATTGAGACTGCTGCAGGAGCAGCACCTCATTCATCATATGCGTATAGCAAACATCTATATGCATGAGCTTGCTTTGTGAACACTTATCATTACTCTCTTACTAGTTGCTTTTCTGCATGATCTCACTTAATAATCCTACTATTCAAGTTGGAAGGTGTTAAGGTAAAGTAATGGATGAGAAACCCGGGGCCCAAAGAGGTTAAGTAATTTGCTGAATGTTATCCAGATAAACAATATCAGATCCAAGGTATAAATCCAGACAGCCTGATTCCAAAATCAGCACTTTCCGAAGATCCTGGTGCAATTCCCAGCTCGTAGCCATCTGCAATTCTAGTTCCAGGGGATCCAATACCCACTTATGGCCTCCGAGGGCACCTGACACACAGATGGTACTCACACACCTAAAGTAAATAAAGTTAATTAAAAAGATAAGGCTGGCACACGCCTTTAATCCCAGCACTTGGGAGGCAGAGGCAGGTGGATTTCTGAGTTCGAGGCCAGCCTGGTCTACAGAGTGAGTTCCAGGACAGCCAGGGCTAGACAGAGAAACCCTGTCTCAAAAAAAAAAAAAATTGTATTTTAATTTTAATTTTTGTTTTTTGAGACAGAGTTTTCCTGTGTAGTCTTGGCTGTCCTGGAACTTGCTTTATAGACGAGGCTGGCTTCAAACTCACAGAGATCGACCTGCCTCTGCCTCCTAAGTGCTGGGATTAAAGGTTTGCAACATCAAATCCCAGGTTTTTTGGTTTTGTTTTGTTTTTTAACGTGGATTCTGTAGTGTTTACAACAGGAGTTGAAGTGATGATTCAGCAATTCCGATCATTGGTGTTCTTGAAGAGGACCTAAGTTTAGTTCCTAGCACCCATGTTATGCGGCTTATAGTCACCTGTAACTCCAGCTCCAGGGAATCTAACGCTGTCTTTTTGCCTTCTTGGGCACCTGTATGCATGTGGCATATATTTGTGAATATACAAACATACACATAAATAAAAAGAAAAAAAGCAAACCAAAACAAAATAATTCCATTTTCCAGATGAGAAGAATGATACACACACACACACACACACACACACACGTTTGTGTATGTATGTATAGCTGGCAGGACCTGGGAGAAGGGAGCCAATAAATAAGGCAACACCATCTGACTCTGCCTCCCTAGTGCTGAGATTAAAGGCATGCCACCACACTTGGCTCATGAAAGCATTCTTGACTGAAATACTATAATTTTTATTTCCTAGAATTCTCTTTTGAGTTATTCTTTAATAAGTTGAATAAAATTATGTGTTTCATCTTGTGTTTGTATTGAGTTGTGTTTCAACTTTTAAAAATTACACTTTAACACCTCATTGTTCCTTCGTATCTATTTGTGTATGGGCGGCTGTATGTTGTGTATGCGGGTTCAGGAGTGTGCATGCTTTAGCAAATCTGGAAGTCACAGGTCAACGTTGAGAAGTCAGATCTGTCTTTACAGTTTGGGTTCCAGGAGTTGAACTCAGGCCATTGGGCTTATACAGCAAGTATTTATTTTTACCTGATGTGTCTTCACACCAGCCCATGTTTTTGTTTTGTTTTTTGAGTCATGTTCTCATGTAGCTCAGGGTGGCCTAGAACTCCATATCCAGCCAAGGACGAGATGACCTTGAACTTTGGATCCTCTCGCCTCTACCCTTTGTGTGTGCCAGGATACCAGGTTTTATGAGGCATCGAGGTTCAAACCCAGGACTTTTTGTATGCTAGCAAGCCCTCTACTAACTGAGCTACAAACCCAGTCTTACCCCTAGGTTTGTTTTTTGTTTTTTGTTTTTCTTTTTTTTGCCACGAACTGTCACACTCCAGTTTGTCCCCTTCTGGTCCATTCTTCAGGTTGTAGCTAGAATGTTCAATTCACAGCACCCACATGGCAGCTAACTACCATCTGTAACTTCAGTTCCAGGGAATCTGACACCCTCTTCTGGTCTCCAGGGGCTCCAGACATGCACACAGTGCACAGACATACATGCAAACAAAATACCCTTACACATAAAATGACAACAGTTTAGCTCACTTCTCCCCTTACAGTGTCTCGGTGCCTCTTGCTATCTTAAGGCTGCAGTCCAATCTGACTAATACTTCTGTAAAGGAACATTGCTCCCCTGCCAAGTTGTTTCTGTCTCAGTTTTCTTTCTTTTTTTTTTTTTTAAAGATTTATTTATTATATGTAAGTACACTGTAGCTGTCTTCAGACACCCACATGAGGGCATCAGATCTCATTGTAGATGGTTGTGAGCCACCATGTGGTTGCTGTGATTTGAACTCACGACCTCTAGAAGAGCAGTCAGTGCTCTTAACCACTGAGCCATCTCACCAGCCCCTCAGTTTTCATTGCTGTGATAAAATATCCTGACAAAAAGCAACTTAGGGGAGACAGAGGTTTATTGTAGCTTACAGTTTCTGATTACAGTCCATCATTGCCAGGAAGTCAAGACAAGCCTCAAAAAGCCATATCACATCTGTAGCCAAGAACAAAAATGAACGACTTCATACGTGCCCACCTGCTTGATTGCTTGTCCTTAGCTCAATTTCTCTTACTTAGCTCAGGACCCACTATGGAATGAATTATGATACACTGGGCTTTGTCTTCCTATATCAGATAAGCCTGTTAACTACAGACATGGCTACAGGTCAACCCAATGTAGACAATCTCTCATTGGGACTCTCTTCCCAGGTGATTTAGGTCGTGTTAAGTTGGTAGTTAAAGCTGACCATCTTATTTCTTTTTTAAACATCATTATTGCAATTATTTGTGTGTGAGCCCATGTATGCCCCAGTGCACATGAGGGCAACTTTTAGGACCTGTTTCTCTCCTACTTTGGATCCCAGACATAGTACACAGGCCATCACATTACAACCAAGTGAGTCCCAGGGACTGACGGACAGGCTTGAGGGCAAGTACCTTTAATTGCTGAGCTATCTCGCCAGTTTCCTCTCTGAGCCTGACCCATGACTCTCACCAGCCACAGAATGCTTGAGATTTGATCTTATGTAGGTGAATCATCTCCCCACTGCCTAAGAGGATATAAGACACAAATAGAATATGATATGTAATTATTAATTTGATACTTCAGATGTATAGATAGGAATATAGATGATGCTGGATATGAAGGCACATACTAAGTGGTGCTCTACCACTAAGTAGATATGTACACATACTTTGTTTTTGATACTTTGGGCTGGTTTTGACCTCTTACTCCTTCCTCAACCTCCCTCTATATTTTTGACTGATTTTTTTTTTTTTTTCTGATTCTCCATCACTGGCTAGAGTGCTGATGAATGTTTGGTCAAAGAACAACCCTGCCCCCACGTGGTAGCAAGAGGCACTGCCTCCTTGTAGTGGAAAAAGGAAATGGGCAAATGAGTAGAACTGGGAGACCCAAGTGGAGAAGCTCTGTCTGTTAGTCTTTGTTTTAGGGACTTGAACATGGTAAACACACACTGTTTAATAATTTATTTTTTATTTACCTATTCATGTGAGTGGGTGCTATGTAGCAAGTGTGGAGTTCAGGAGACCATTTTTGAAGGTTGATTCTCTTCTCCCACCATGTGACTCCCAGGGATTAAACTCAGGTCATTATACTTGACAGCAGAGGCTGTTACCTGTTTAGCCAACTCACCAGGCCCTAAGTTAATTTTTTCTGTCTTTTATGGTTCTAAGGATTGATCCCTGGGCCCTTGTGTGTGCTTGGCAAGTGCTCCTACTACTGAACTACACTCTAGTGTGTAACTAATAGATTCATTCATTAATTTTAAAGGTTTGTTTATTTAATGTGTGTAGGTGTTTAATGTCTGTACACCATGTGTGTGCAGTGTCCTTGGAGACCAGGAGAGGGTATAGGAGCTCCTGGAACTGGAATTAGAGATGGTTGTTAGCTGCTCTGTGAGTGCTGGGAATTGAACCCTGGTTCTGTGGAAGAGCAGTCTGTCCTTTTAAGCACTGAGCCATCTCTCCATCCCCCACTATTAATTTATTTTTGAGATCACATTTCCCTCTGTAGCCTAGGTTGGCTTAGAACTTGTAATCTTCCTACCTCAGCCTTGCAAAGTGCTAGGAGTGCAGGTGCTCCTCACACCTAATTCCCTTCTACTTAGTTTTTCAAGGCTATGTAAGAATATGACTACCCTCTATTAATAGCGGGTACCCACAAATTCTGCCTTTCATTTCTTCCTTTGTGTGGTCTGTTCAAGACACCTTGTGTTACATAGGTGCTTTTTTGCATGATGTGTAAATGATGGTGGTTCTGATGGGGGTCTAGGTTACTGGCTTTTAGTACTTCCAGTATTTTTGGTTCTGCTTCAGCCTGGAAGAATTGTTTCAAGGTTATCAAAGACATGCTGGATCAATGTGATGTTAGGACTTGGTAGGGTTAGACAGCGTTCAGCATGATAGGATGTTCTGAATGTGCTATGACTCTGTTTCATAGTCACTCTGTACTTTGGTTATATGTGATAAATGTGGTTCATTCTTACGGTCTTTGCATTCTCATTGGCTCAGCTGTGCCTCTCCCTTTCTCACTGTCAGCGCTAGACAGTTGTGGAGCCACTGCTTAGCTCTAAGTGACTCAGTTCTCCTCTCACTAGTATATTCCTGCTGACTTTGGTAACTGTCTCCTCTGTGTCTCTTCTTGGGCTTCAGTTCTCACTATGGCCTCACAATCTACTCATCCCAGCATATCTATTGTATTTACCCCATTTTTGTCTTTGTTGTTGTTTGTTTGTGAGTCAGGGTCTTATGTAGCCCAGGCTGGCCTCAAACTTGTTGTGTAGTCGAGGGTTACTTTGAACTTTTCATGCCTCCACTTCCTGGGATTTTAGCCTGTGCCTCCTCTGTGCCTGTTTTATGTGGTGCTAGGGATAGAACTCAGGCTTTCAAATGCTAAGCAAGCCCTCTCCTGACTGAGCTACATCCTCAGCCCTTCATTCTTCAATGCCTGTGGCCCTGCGGATTGAACCCTGGGCCTTGCACATGGTAGGCAAGTACCCATCCTCTGAACGGCATCTCCAGCTCTTCTAGCCCCTTTATAAGTTTATATTGGTCAACTGTGTTAGTCATTGTGTTATATCCCAGGTAAGGGAAAGTAATCTACTCTAGAGCATTGAGAAATACTATCACTTGTTAGAGCTTGAATCAGGAAGAGTAACTTAGCAGGAAAAGCCAAACAGCAGCATAGCACGCACCTGAGGCATTAAGACTGGAGAGACCCTGTGTGTTGTGTGATTGGCAGGTGCTAGAAAGCTGCTATGGCTGGACAGTAGTGATCAGAAAGGTGTGCTGGGTGAAAAGACTGAGGGGAGTTCACTTCTCTAAGACTTGGACCTGGGGGCTGGGAGATACTATGTTACCTTAAATTTTATTTATTTTGTGGAGGTCAGAAGACGGCTTTCAGGAGTTCTCTTTTCACTAAGGAGTGAACTCAGGTTGTCAGGCTTGGTGAGTGAGCACCCTTACCAGATGAACATCTTGTTGGTTTGATCCAGTGAGCCATCTGGTTTCTAGGGAGCATTTCATTGAACCCTCACAAGGAGTGCTTCTGCTTCACAGTCCACAAACTTTGAGCTTTCATGCTGGGTATAAAGTCTGTCTTGAACCTTTCTTATCTGGCAAACCCAGGGCAAGGTAGGACTCTTATCAACTGTGAACACTGGCATGACCCTTAACCCCTACCTACTTTGCCTTTTCCTAGGAGTTGGTGTATAGACTTTTCTCTAGTGAGGCTGGGGAGGACCTTTGGGAATTCAAAAGGACAGTGGCAGGTGATGAGACTTTCCGTATCTCTTCCTCTCTACTGTTCAGACCTTGGCTTCTGCTTTCTCCCAAATACATAGCAATCTTGGCTGCCAGCCTAGGTGGGGAGAGGGAGAAAGGACCTGTTGTTTTCTTCTGCTTCTCTCTGAAAATAACCCAATTGGCTGTGGTAAAGAACATGAAGTTCCTGGGATTGTTGGCACCTCCTAGAGTTGATGTCCGCTTGTCCCTGCTGCGAACCCAGTCTGCCTCATTTACCCTTCCTCTTGCCAAGGACCTCTGTGGGGGGAATTTGAGAAACTTTCAAAGTGCCAGGGAACTAAGCTGCCTCCAGGGCCTAGCATAGTCAACTGATGTAGCCTGGCACACTGGAGGGTTTGAGGGTGATTGCAGGAGGGCAAGAGTCAAGCAGCTTGAATATTAAAAGGGTAGATGCCGAAATACTTTTGGAATGTTTATTACAGCCCCCAGAAATCTCTTCTGATTGCCTGATTCCCAGTAATCCAACAGTCTTACTAGTAACTAGGGTAGGATAAGAAGGATAGTGTCCACTTCAACTCTGCAGTTGAATTTTAAAGTCAAGAACGGATTAGAGTTGATTATATGCAATTGATGAAGCAAAGGATTGGAGTGGGTATCCAGTAAATAGTTGCTGCCTGAGGAATTAAATTCAAGGAGTCTTGAAAGGTGAGTGTGTGTAAGTCCCGAGGGGAATCCAGGAGCTCAGCTGAGTCCGGAGTCTGAGATGATGTGGGCAAAACAGAAATAGATGTAGTGCCAAGATGTGGGTAAAGCAGAAGTGGGTTGTAGTGCCAAGGTCTGAGTGAAGTTGGGAGATCAGATGTTAGCCTGAGGCGTGCCTGGGGCGAGCGAAGGGATGATGATGTGGATGGAGGCTAGTGTCATCTTGCAGAGAGAATAGAGGCGTCGCAGGGAAAGGGGCCGGAAGGTCGGAGAAGGAGCTTTGGAACTTGGTCAGGACAAATTCACGTTTGTTATTCTAAGGGTTACTGACTACAAGCTCAGCTTCCCAGACTCTGGCATGAATAAGTGTTAGGAATAGACTGGCTGCCGGGCGGTGGTGGCACACGCTTTTAAACCCAGCACTTGGGAGGCAGGAGGATTTCTGAGTTCGAGGCTAGCCTGGTCTACAGAGTGAGTTCCAGGACAGCCAGAGATATACAGGAAAAACCCTGTCTCGAAAAACCAAAAAAAAAAAAAAAAAAAAGGAATAGACTGGCTCATGTAGCGAGGCTGGGCGTGCAAAAAGACTTCTCTACATCCCTTTAAGAGGCGGACCAGGGCGGAGTCCTGGGTCACTTCCTGGCCGACACGCCCGCCAGGCGGCAGAAGCAGTTAGGGAAGCTAAGCTAGCCTCACGGGCACCGGACACCTCTCTAAACTGAGGGGACCTAGGCAGGATTAGAGCCGCCCCACTGACTACAGGCCGTGTCGTGTTACCGTTTCTACAGGCACCATGAGCCAGGACACCGAAGTGGACCTGAAAGATGTGGAGCTGAACGAACTAGAACCGGAGAAGCAGCCTATGAATGCAGCGGACGGGGCTGCGGCCGGAGAGAAGAACGGTCTAGTGAAGATCAAGGTGGCCGAAGACGAGACAGAGGCCGGGGTTAAGTTCACCGGCTTATCCAAGGAGGAGCTATTGAAGGTAGCGGGCAGCCCGGGCTGGGTGCGCACCCGCTGGGCGCTGCTGCTGCTCTTCTGGCTCGGTTGGCTGGGCATGCTGGCGGGCGCCGTGGTTATCATCGTTCGGGCGCCGCGCTGCCGTGAGCTGCCGGTACAGAGGTGGTGGCACAAGGGCGCCCTCTACCGCATAGGCGACCTTCAGGCCTTCGTTGGCTCGGAAGCGGGAGGCATAGCTGGTGAGTGGGGTGCGCGCCCTCATCCCTTTCCGCCGTGTGCCCCTCGTTTAATCGGGCATTCTGTTGCTCTCTTCCTTCTCCCTCGCCCTCTCTAGAACGCTGATGGTTCTTCACCGCACCCTATTTTCTGGGACGACTTCCTGGCAAACAATCCCCTCCTTTCTTTCTTAAAAAAAAAAAAAAAAAAAAAACTACAAACCGCTAGCCCGACCCCTACTTCTTCCTAAGGGTGTCTGACTCAGCACATCCTCTTTCTCCTCCCCCAACCACGAGGCCCCTGAGCCAGTTCAAACCAGTTTCTGAAGTAATGTGTGAGGCTCCTTGCGTCAGCTACTTTGTCTCGTGATCCAGCTCCCTTCAGAGGGAGTCGGGGAAAGTGGTGGGGAGAATGTGGCGGCTGGAGGCTTTTCATGCCCACTGGTTAACCCAACCCTCTCCTCCACATAGGTCTGAAGAACCATCTGGACTACTTGAGCACTCTGAAGGTGAAGGGCCTTGTTTTAGGCCCAATTCACAAGAACCAGAAGGATGAAATCAATGAAACCGACTTGAAACAGATTAATCCCGCTTTAGGCTCCCAGGAAGATTTTAAAGACCTTCTACAAAGTGCCAAGAAAAAGAGTAGGTCTTTCTAAGGAAGCAGAAAGGGTTTGGCATTCTGGCCAAGAAACAGGATAGGGTTTTTGTCTGGTTTTCTCCTAACTGGCTCAGTTTTTTTAGGACAGGCACAGGGGAGCTATGTTATGATTTACACTAACAGTGAGGTTCATGTGTGAGAGTAATTTTTATTTATTTTTGTTTTGGTTTTGAGGTAGGGTCTCACCGTGTAACTGGTTGGTTGGCATGTACCTGACTACCATGACCAGGCTGGATGAGTTTACAGAGCTTCACTGGTCCTGAGTGCTAGGCCAAGTGTGTTACCATGGCTTGATAAAATAAATGGCTTTTAAATGTATAAAGTAGATCCTAGATGTGTAAGAGATTCAGATACTGCTTTGTAACTCAGTATAGACGGCTGAAAATGCAGCTCAATTTGTAAGAATGCTTGTCTAGTCTCCATGACAGCCTGAGTTTTATTCTTCGGCACATCATAAACAGACGTGGGAGTGTGTGCCTATAATCCCACACTTGGGAAGCAGATGTAGGAGGTTATTTATCCTCAGGCAGCCGGCCCACATACACAAAACCCTGACTGGGGGGATGGGGGTGCGGATAAGAAAGAAACCAAAACCTCAATGTGGGAAACATGCTGAAAGACTATACGTTGTGTGTGTGTGTGTGTATGGGGGGGTCAGTAACCCCTGACCCTGTACTGTAGCTCAAAGTTACTTGCTCTACTGTAAAACCACCTGAGAGGTCTTGTGGGTTTCATTCAGATTTTGTACAAACCGTACATAGGTGCACTTAGTAAACTTGTGTTCAAGTTCCTTGTCCAAAGACTTTCTCTCAACTGGTTGTTTTCTAGGCATTCACATAATTTTGGACCTCACTCCCAACTACCAGGGCCAGAATGCGTGGTTCCTCCCTGCTCAGGCTAACGTTGTAGCCACCAAAGTGAAGGTGAGAGTATGGCTGGCAGCATACAGAGGCTGGGGCTGTATGGATGTGTTCACACCAGCCTCATGTGCACTTAGCGTGGTTCTTCCCATAGCCGGAAGGACAGGGCCAGGTGCACAGTGTTTCTTCTTGTTTCTTTTCTGATGGCTCTTTTTTTGTGTTTCCTTTACTCTAGAAGCAAGGCTATGCCAGGAAGGGAATTTCTCAGATGTCAGTCTGGAAGTTTAATTTTTCTTTTTGTGATAGGAAGTCTTTTCTTTCTCTGTGGGAATCCTGACCTGACTGGTTTCCCAGTTTTTGTTTGATGTATTTGGAACGGAGCCCAGTCTGACATTATAAGTACTAGAGTCTTACTATGTATCTGAGATTTTTATCTTGCCCCATGTTTTACTATTTTTTTTTTAAAAAGAGTTAACTCCACTATGAGTGCTTTTTAAGATTTGTTTTTATGTGTATGAGTGTTTGCCTGCATTTCTGTTTGTGCACCATATGCATGTCTGGTACACCCCAAGAAGCCAGAAGAGGGTGTTGGATCCCCTGAAGCTAAATTTACAAACAGTTGTGAACTGCTATGTAGGTGCTGGGAACTGAACCTGACTCCTCTGCAAAAATGGCAAATTTTTTTTTTTTTTTTTTTTTTTTTTTGGTTTTTCGAGACAGGGTTTTTCTGTATATCTCTGGCTGTCCTGGAACTCACTCTGTAGACCAGGCTGGTCTCGAACTCAGAAATCTGAAAATGGCAAACTCTTAACTCTGCGAAAGCTCTTAACTACTGAGCTATCTCTCTAGCCTCCTGTCCCAAGTATTTTATAGCTGTTTTTAATTGTTTTGTAAACCCACAAAATACCTGTTACTGCCAGTCTGTTAGTGAAGAGACTGAGGTGCAGTCACTCCATGTGTTCCAAACTGGAAGTCTCAAGGAGTCTTCTCTGATCTGACCTTGAGGTAATAGCTTAAACTTGGTAGCTACCAGGCTAGGGTAAAGCTTCTAATGTCACCCTAGTTTCTGGTGCCTACATTTTAGGACACTGGCAGGTCTAGGATAGACATAGCAAAGTAGAGGCAGATGCTGACACTTTTGGATTCTAAGTCTGTAGATGAGACTCCTGTAATCATCCAGTTTGGCTTTGCTAGTTGCTGGCAGATTTGTCTTCTAGACTCCCCAAGTGCTGAGATCCTATACTTAATAGGAAGTTTGTTAAAAGTTACTGATGAGAAAGTTCAAAGTAGTAGAGAAAGCCTATAGTCCTAGCACTTGAGAGTTGGAGGGAGGCAGGAGGATGAGAAGGACATCCTCAGTTATGTAGTGAGTTGGAGACTGGTCTGAAGTCAAAAAGAAAAGTTAACTGGTATTTTCAGGTGGTAGCCTCAGATAAAGATGGGAGAACACTCGAGAAGGGAAGAAAGAGGCTGTGGGGGCGGGGTTCTATGCTAAGTGTCAGTTGAAGACAGGGCTTAAACCTTCAGGCCTGGGCCTGTTCTACAGAGCTGGCCTCTTTTCAGATGTCTCAATAGCCCTCAGGCTGTGTTTTGAATTTCAAACTTTGTTCTTGGCCTTCCTCCCAGCAGCTCTTGTAGGAGAGCACACACTCTCTTAACCTCAGGAAACAGAGAGAGGAGCAAGCACATTTGCTTTAAGGTCTTGACTGGTATTTTAGTTCTATCTCTGTTGTTCTCCAGTTATAATCTTGGCCATGTTTTCTTCTCTGTGCCTATTTCTTCATCTCCAACTTGAGAGTATTTTCATTCCACACACTAAGTATTAAATGTCAGAGCTGTGTGTGCATGTTTTCTCTTAGGTCATTTCTGTAGCTGTTAAAACTGAAGGTATGTGATTTGCCAAAGGCAAGACAGAGAACAGAAAAATGCTATTACACAGTAAGCGCATGGGTGGGGCACCAAGGGCTAGCCTTTGAAACTGGGAGACTGAACCCTGTTTTCTGTAGGTCCCAGGGAAATTTGAGGTAGGTGAGGGCTTGCTTGTATGTTGATCTTTCCTCTGTTCTTTTGTCCCCTATAGGAAGCTCTGAGTTCTTGGTTGCAGGATGGTGTAGATGGCTTCCAAGTTCGGGATGTGGAACAGCTGACGGTGAGTGGCCTTTCTTCATTGAGAGGCAAAAAGCTTTGGTGAGAGGAGTGGGTCTCAGCCAGGGCTAAGTGATGTTCCCTGTTCTAACTCTGCTTTTTCTCTACTAGAATGCATCCTTGTACTTGGCTGAGTGGCAGAATATCACCAAGAACTTCAGTGAGGACAGGTAGGTGCCCAGCACCCCTGTCTGGCTGAGCCCATTGTGAGCTCCTCCAGAGGGGAGTTTCTTAGTCTCGGGAACTCTTTTATGCTTTATCTCCTGACGTGTTCTAAGGACACTCCTATCCTTGCTTTGTGCAGGCTTTTGATTGCAGGGACTGAGTCCTCTGACCTGCAGCAAATTGTCAACATACTTGAATCCACCGACCTGCTGCTGACTAGCTCATACCTGTCAAATTCCACTCTCACTGGGGAGCATACAGAAATCCTAGTCACTAAGTATTTGAATGCCACTGGCAGTCACTGGTGCAGCTGGAGTGTAAGTACCCTGCTGATGGGTTAGGGGAAGGTGGAAGGTGGGTCACTGGCAGT